AGAAGCTTAAACTGGGAGACTAGTCTCCCATTACCACTTTGAATTTCAATTAAAAATCAATGAAGAGTGCTAGCTGGGAAAAAATCCATTAATGCCTCATAAATGGTTAGTTTTAAATATTGGTAAAATTATATGTTTATAAATGATATGATTAATTAATTATCATGGTTAAATTAAAGTTTGGGATGTTAGTCTCCCAGTTTATGTGTTATGTGACTTTTTCCCTACAGTATAAATAGTGCTAATTTTAATTTGCCCTTACTGCATAAACTGGGAGATTAATCTCCCAGCATTAAACTGCATAAACTGGGAGATTTATCTCCCATCATAAACAGCACTAAAGCGTGGGAAATTAATCTCCCAGTTTATGCACAAACTGCTGGGTGATTAGTTTCCCAGTTTATTTACAACGTCTATAATTATAGTTTAAGCTTTAAGGGTTAAGATATAATTTTCAATAAAGACTCTAGGTCTTGTGCAGTGTCTTGTGGATTTAATGTTAATACGACAAATTAAATTATAAAAGTTGTAAAATATAACTAAAATAGTCTATAAATATAAGGTTGGCTTCATTTTGTTTAAAGTCAAAAGTTAACAATTTAGGTAAAATTAATTTTTATAAGAGGTATTTTGATTACGACAGTGTTTGAAGTACTTTAATACAAGATAATCTATATATCAATAGATATTTATTGAAATTTAGACTTATTTAGCAATTAATTTATTATAATAAAAGTAAAGTATAAAATGTCAAGTGTTTTTATAAATCTAAACATTAATCATGAACAAAAACTTAATGACAGGGTAGACAAGTGTACTGTACCCCTAGGGTTTGTATACGTACAGTTGCCCGGTATGGTCACGCCGGAAAACTATGGGCCGCTCAGTACAAGTGGTCAGATGTGACGAGTAAATATGCAGGGTTGTTTTTCCGGGCAGAGGGCAGCGGGTCGGGTGTGTTCAACCAGACGGGGTTTACAGTGCAATTGGGCAGTCAATACATCAAATTTAAATGTCAAACTTATGTATGATACTGTTAAGTGTTTTTATAAAACCTAATTAATAATAAGTATAAAAAGTATAAATTTATAAATATAAAAAACTTTGATTAGTTAAGTGAAAGTAATTTCATTAAACGTAATGTGTTTAAGATATTAATTTTTATAATTAATAGATTAACACCTTAATAAAAATAGAATTGCAATAATAATAAATGCTGTGTTTTATACAAATATTTTAAGTTAAACAATATGACTTTTATTAAAATAATAACGATTACATTATGTTTATGGTCATTTTACGATGGATACACAGGTTAGATAATTATAATCTGTTTGGTAATAATACTATTTATAAAATTAATAATTAATTAAATTTACATGAATATCTTAATTATTATTTCAATCTCTAAACGTACTAGGGCTACTTGTAGACTGTCCAGAGGGGTTCACAGCCACTGGCAACCACTGCTACCAACAAGTTGCCGGCACCGTAGCTAGTGAGGCCGAGGCTAAGACCAAGTGCGCGGCACTGGGCTCGGGTTCAGTGCCCGTCACCGTTCACAGCGACACCGATAACAAAGATTTATCTGGA